ACACACACTGCAGAGGCCATGGGCAGCTTCACAGTGCTGCACTCAACCACCTGCACCACCGGGGAGGCCCTTATTAAATAATAGAAACACATAATCACAACTTCAAGCTAAACAAAACACCCAGGAAGATTTCCTGGAATGAATAAACTTGTTAATGATGATTTTGTTAGTTTCAACATCAACACTGTGGGTATTAACTGACTTTTCCATTTGGACCAAGAGATAGCATAGTCCAGTTTTCTTCTTTAAATGAACTCTTTTAGTCCTCTAAATTATCTACTTACTAGCCATCTCCTCTAAAATGTCTGCTTATTTCCTGTAAGACCTGCTATAAGTCTGGGCTTCCCAGTTGGCATGAGGAGTAGTGAGTTTCCAGCCCAGATATTGATCACTATTATGCACTGTCATCTTGTTCAAAAATATGTGAGGAGCAGTGATTAGTTTGCTCACCTTTCTGCAGCTAAAATAACACAACAAAAGCACAGCAGTGGATTATTTTTATGGACCCTCTTGCTTCTACCACTTTCCAGCTGTATGACCTTGAACAAGTCAGAGTCTTGTTCAACCTCAGTGTCTTCATCTTTAATGTGACTCTTTCACTGAAGAGTCATTGTGAGGATTAAATACAATTTTGTGTATAAGTACTAGGTTAGTGCATCGTTACACCATAGTCCTCACTAAATGTATTTGTTACTCTGAAAGTACACCACAAAGCATCAGGTTCAACAGGAACCTGTTAACAAATGATAAAAGCAGTTAACAAATGATAAAACTATGATAAAACAATGTTCTTTTCACTTGTACTTTACTAATATACACTCACTTTTGGCAAAGCCTGTGTGACCTGCTCTACCCTCCCACCAACTCCTATCCCCAGATGCCAGGAAGAGAGTTTTATCACCATGAATGAGGAGTTGCTTTAAAACAATTCACCCAGTTCCCTAATCTTAAAGATGAAAACATAAATCCATCATACAATCATGTTTTAAAATCTTCAAGAACTACGACTGTCTTGACATTAATAATCTTTTAGAACAAGTCAACTCAATCCATAATATAGACCAACATTTTGCAATCAATTTGTCTTGAGAACTAGTCATGGAAGTAAAATTCAGTGGAGACTTTGCTTGAATGGTTTTGTCAACAATTATCCTTAAAGGAAAATAGTGTTTAGGAAAGTAGTGTTTCAATCTTAAGATAAAGATCTTTAAGACCCTGCAATAGAGCAAATCTCAATTTTTTTACAAATAAATAGCTAGATTTACTGCTTTTGATCTTCCTCCAGAATGAGGTAGGATGACCCTCTTCTAAAGTTCAGGTACTGCATAAGGCCCTCCCTTTTCATAACATGCAAATCCAAGTCCTCCCCTCTTCACTGTCTCAATGCTTATGACTATACTTCTACCACACATAAAATAGTCAAGTTTTATATTTATCAATTACATCTGGGACTAATACTTACTAGATAAACAAGGTATATGGAAGATTATTGAAGGAAATGCTGTTTATTGGTTTCTCAACATCAGGGTTCTTAACAGATCTATAAATGCTTAAGATGCTCATATATAGGCTTCTAGAAGTCGATGTGCTTCTCTCTATCCTCCTTAGCATGAGCTCAAATCTTCAAAAGGCTTGAGACCTCTACCCTAGATTGTAGTGTAGTCTTGACCAAGTCAGACTGGTTGAGGATTGAGTTCCTGGAACACACTTTTTTCAGCTCACAGCAGAATTTATGCTAAGGATGTTTTTACAATGTTGCTAATTCCATTGCAGATTTTTCTTGAGAAACTTCATAGAAGGTATTTCTCTATAGTTTTATAATGAGTAAGAAAAATAATTGTGAATAGATTGTTCTTAAGTGAAAAGCAATATACAATTAAGCTAACATTTTTGTTGGCTGCTAGAAAGTTTAGAGTCAATTGCTCCACCTGTCTCCTGTATAAGTATCAACAGTTAAGTCTCTGATAACATGTGTTTTGTGTTACTCATCATCGGGTTTTGAGGAACTAATAAATACCATGCTTTTCCCTTCTGGGTTCTTAACTAATCGAGAAATAGATACCAAAGACAGACAGAGATCTAAATGTCAGCCCATTGCCATTTACAGATAGGTGGGAAAATGTGGCTTGTATTGTGTCCAGAAGTGGATTAGTAATACTCTGAGTTAGACAAGCTTGCCCACAGAGTCCAAGGCATGGCTGGAAGTCCTTATCTCTTCTGCAAGAGGAAGTGACATCTGCAGACAGACACACTCCCCAGTGGGGAGAGTTTATCAACCCCTTCTTGAAAATGCACAATTGCATAAACCCTCTGACCCTGCCTTTGGTCTACTTCCTTGATAGAGGGCCTGGGGTAAGAGGCCAGGTCTAGGGAGCTACTTCCATATGTGGTAGGAGAAACCATTGCCCCCAATACTGACCTTTCTCCTTTGCTCTTACCTGCCTTCTTTCACCTTTTGTTCAGTTTCCTTAACTCAACTAATTGCAGCATATGTGTTTTGATAAAGTTCTTTACATTCTTTTTGGAATGAGTTGGGCTAAATAATTTTACTAAAGAATGCACTTTAAAATACATTTCTTGGTATGAGATAACAAAACCCTACACAGTTTAGAGTTCGCCAAGAGGAAGAGATTGTAGGAATCTGGAAATAAATGAATTCTTTTTCTCATGCCTTATAATGTTTGACTTAAAATTCCTTGTGACTTGTCTGTCCTTAACACCATTTTTAAACTGTGTTTTAAAAACCCAAAGGGATATTTACCCTTAAAGCCTATTAACGTGTCTCATCTCAGATTAGCTATAGTTGTTATCAGCAGGGAAGATGGATATAAAAATGTTCTGTCAAGAGCCCATTTTCAAAGACACGATGCCAAATTCTTTAACAAGGATTCTCGAACTCATTACCTTTCAAGAGACTCAATTTGAAATAATGAGCAATACCTTTATTTCAAAAATATCCAGAATAATAAAAAAAATTTTTTTAATTAAAAATATAAAATAAAATGTTAGACCGTGGGGGAAAAAAAAATCCAGAACATACAATGCGCTCCTACAATTCAACAACAAAAAGTTAAACTACCTAGTACATAATAAGCAAAGGATTTTAGTAGATGTTTCTCCAGGGAACATTTGCAAGTGACTAACAAGCAAATGAAGGAAGCTTTGCATCATTAGTCATTAGTGAAATGGAAATCAAAACTATAATAAGATACCACTTTATACTTACTAGGATGGCTATAATAATTAATAATGATAAGATAATGTAGGGTAAGGTAAAAGTATCAGGCTTTTCTGCCCTCCCGCCATTAGGATAGATGAGGGAACCCTGTGGTCCTGAATGCATGCCTGATGGCGGGCACCTGGAGTGGGCACACCTGGGCTGAGAGACTGAGTTTAAAAGGGCGGCACCATGGGGACGCCAGCAGAAGCCGAGAGAAGAAGAGACGCAGAGAGAGAGCCAGAGAGAGCCCAGATAGAGTGAGGATTTGCTGGAGGCTGGGAGGACTGCCAGCCTCCCGGCCCCCCAGTACCCCTGCCTGCCATATGCCTGGTAAATCTAAATAAAAGCCTGCAAAAGCCACTGAGGAATCTTGACTCCTCCACCCGGTCTGCTGGATCAGAAAACCTGCACCGTGTCCATCCTGCCCCTACAGATAATAAGGAAAATAGCAATAGAAATCAGAAACTTCATAGATTTGATAGGAATGGAAAATGTTTCAGACACTGAGATTTTTTTCAAAGTGGTTTTTCAAAAAGTTAAATATAGAATTCATACCTAGGTATCTCCCCAGAGGAATTAAAGGAGATAGAGACTCAAATAAATACCTGAACACAAATATTCATCACAGCAGTCTTCACAGTATCCAAGAGGTGGAAACAACCCAAGTATCCATCAATGAATAAATGAATAGACAAGTTGTGACTTAGTCATATAATGAAATACTATGCAGCCATAAAAATGAATTGAAGTACTGATTATGTTACAACATGTGTGAACCTAAAAACATTATGCTAAGTTTAAAAAGTCAGAAACAAAAGAACAAATACTGTCTGATTCCACTTACATAAAATACCTAAAACAGGCAAATTCACAGAGAAAAGGTAGATTAGAGATTATCTGGGGGGTAGTGAGGAGAGGCGGGGTGTGAAGAGCTGTTGTTTAGCGAGTCTGGAGTTTCTACTTGGAGTGATGAAAGAGTTTTAGACGTAGTGGTGATGGCTGCACAATATAATGAATGTAACTAATTTCACCATAATGTACACTTTAAAATGGTTAATATTTTATGTCACATATATTTTTCTATAACCATTATGTATGATATATAAGATGTTCTTACTAAGCATTAATATAAATACAAAATTAAGCAGATTTTAGCTATGTATTTTACCAGACTTTTAAAAATCATTCGAAATATGCACCAATTTACACATTTTAAATCTATGTAAGGAATCTAACAGTCGTTCTCTTACTTTTCTTGACAAATGTCTCTTGAAACAGTGAAATGCAAATGATCCAATATCAAATTAAACTATCAATAAAACATATCAATTATTAAAATGAGACCAAGATGATTATTCATAGATTGTGGTGAAACAGCTGTTTCCTGTTTTTCCTTCTAAAAGTAAAGTCCTTTACATGTATGATAACAAGGAACAGCTGAAAAGCAGGTAAGTTTTATTGTTCGATAGGACGTATAATTTAGATTAACAATTGGATTGTGGTCTGACTGCATAGTTCACATCCCATGAAAGGAACTTAGAGAATTTGTGTTTAATCAACTAACATTGATATTAACACCTAGAACATGGTGAAATCTCTCCAAATACTGTTGAGACACACTTTTCCCTTCCATTGCTTGGAAGCTGAGTTTCTTTAAGAACTACCAGTTCTTAACAAAATAGAACTACCACTGAAGCAGGTGATACAGGCTTCAGTGTAATCCCCTTTTAAGCTGAAGCAGTACACACGATGGCTCACATGCAACCTGGTTCTTTTCCAGAGCATAGGAAACTTGGAAATATGACTGTGACCGTGAAGAAGACTGTCCCGTCTCCTGAGGCCGTGCAGATTCTCTACCAGCGGATGAGATATGAGTATGAGTTCTACCACTACGTCAAAGAGCAGTTCCACCTGCTCAAGCGCAAATTCGGACTGAAGTCACACTCCAGCAAGCCCCCTCTGAGACCCCAGTTTTTTATTCCCACTCCACTGGAAACCGAGGAGCCAATTGATGACGAGGAACAAGATGACGAGAAGTGGCTGGAAGATATTTATAAGAGGTGATGCCGGCACTGTGCTGCCTCCATTGGCTTTATCTCCCTTTTCCAGAAAGTGTTTTGTTTGGGGAAGAAAATTCCCAAAGGGACTACATGAATGCTCCATTGCATTAAAAAGAACAAAACATGCCCACAGGTTGGGGTCATTGGATGGGAGATGCCCGGTTTTGCGGGTTTATTTGTTTTTCCTGGCTCCTTGGTCCTTCCCAGATATATTAGATGGTTCCATCACAAGGCCTCTGCTAATAAAATAGCTCCCCCCACCCCACCCCCATGTGATGAGAGAAGGGGAAAGAATGCAGCCCAATAATTTATCAGTTGTAAAATGACTTATAAAAGTATTACCTCAGTGGTAGGAGACACCCAGACTTGTATATTTCAGTAGAAGAAATACAAAACCACTTCAGAAACCAGGGCATCTACTCTCGAAGGATCTAAGAGAAGGTAAGCCAGATCAGGACATCAAAAGGGGTACACTCTGCTCTGCTCCATCTCAGGGGACATTTTCACCTTGGGCAATGTACTTATTATCTCTGAGAGAGACAGCCCCACCAGTCCAGAGCTTTGAGTACCTTTCAAGGTCAAAGTGCATGACAAACTCCATTGAGACATTCCATTTCCAAGCACCATTGCAACAGAGATCAAAGTGACCTGCCAGGAAAAAGACTCTGTTGTGTGAGGAAGAGTGTAGACAAGACAGATCCACTCAGGAGGTCAGGTGTTATCAGGACACTGGTGTGGTCCTGCCCTTTGCACCCAGTTTTTTCACTTGTGTCACTAGACACCCAAGCACCTATTTAGATCTAGTGCTTGACTCCTGTAGCAGAAGCTCTAAGCCTGACCACGGTTGATGCACAAGTCCAGCAGGCATACCCAGTGGCAAACTGGATCCCATGGTGCTTGGTATCAAACCTTCTAGTCCCTTACGAGGTAGCATTCTTGGTAATAAAAAAAAGGAAGAAAGAAATGGGGGGGAAGGGTAACTGAATTCCGTGCAGGAGGCAGTAGAAGCACATACAGTCCCATTTCTTACCAAAGCTGCTCACTCCTGAAAACACTTACTGTGACATCAAGAAGAGAAGAAGCAGGAGCTTCTGGGTAAGAGACTGTTTGCCCAGATCTATCAGCAGGCCACTGTCCCCCAAGTGATCTGTGCAGAGGTTGTGCAGTCCTGTCACTCTGGATCTCTCTTCCCCCCACACACACTCCCTTCACCTGCCAACAACCTGTGATGCCTTGATTCCATCATGAGAAGCCTCTTGCTTCAGATTCTGAGATCTTTAGCCACCTACCTGTAAAAACACACATATTCCTAGGTAGAGCGCAGACAGCCGGCTGAAAAGCATGGGGCAGATGGCAATGGCAGGCAGGATACTGGCAACAAATTTTCTCTCCTTCAAGTTTTCCCCTAGAGCCAGCCCTTCAAGAGAACTAGCAAAGTGTGAGTTGGGAATACTTACCAGTCCCTTAGACGCTGACTTTACACGAGCAACACATTTTCTACTTTTCAGAAACCAACAAGTCTCTCTAGGATTTTTTCTTCGTTCCCTAAAATTGGACCCTAGCCAAGATCTAAAGCAAGTCCTTTGGAACCTGTCAAGTGGGCACTAGAGCTGCTTTAAAGTGACGTGTGTCAGAAGGCCCCGCCCCACGGGAGTTCAAGGAAGGCTGGGAGCACCAGGTACAACGTCCAGTGTGTCCGGCGTGTGGCCGCTGTGGGGCTCCTTGCTGCCTCGGAGAACTGGGGCAGGGAAATGACTAACGGAGATATTCTTAGAAGGGGACGTTCGCCTTGTCCTGTTTGAAGAGACCAGACCCTCTCCTAGGCATACGTTCAAAAGTGCCCCTCCCCGAGAACATCGATCCTGTTCCAAACCAGAACAAGAAGCCTAGGACCTTGTGAGTCATTTCTATGAAATTGCATATAAGGAATGGGAATTAGTTCACACACGGTGCAATCTCACTATCTGAAAATAAGGCTGAGCTGGCTGAATGTCGTTCTGTGCTGTTGTCCAAGCATCGGTCATTTTAAAAACTGCATCCCCTTGGGCAAGTTCAGGAGAGCACTTCCACCTGTGTGTTCAAAGGCATTTCTTTTCAGCTGTGCTCAAGGTGACATCACGACGAAAGATGCAGTTTACTTGCAGGCCTTACTGTCACTTTGTCCCAACTACAGCCTGTGGGCCCCAAGGTCAGGGGGCTTCATTTGTTCATTTGGCCCATGTGACAATATTTCTTTGGCCCTGAGCCCAGCGTAGTTTGTACTTCATGAAATATATTGTACATTTTACATAGTTTAATTTAAAAAATACATTTTAAGCTGATAGATCTTTGACTGCCTTATTTATTATAAACTTTCAGCACATTCCAAGGTTTTAGTTACTCAGGAAGGAGTTAATTAAAATGATTTTATTTTGGTCTGATGGATGTTTTTTAAAAGGAAAATTGTTATTATGAACCTGCAGCCTACTTTCCTTGAGTTTCCTTGTAAATCTTTTTTTTTAAGAAGAAAGAAAAAATGGTGTTTGACATTGATGGGAATTCAAAAATATATATGGAACTGAAACATTAGCTTAGCTAAAATAAAAGCAATCTGTGTTCGAAATGAAGTGTTCCTTAATTTATTCCTTACCCGTATAAATAAATGAATATAAATAAGTTGAATTTTTTCCATTCTGTCGATAACTGGAAGGAAAAATGCCTGCAGTTCTTCACAGCACCCCCAGGGCTCTTGATGGACCAAGTTTTTTTCCACTGAGATGTGATTTGGGAAAAGATGTATTTTTGAAAATCTATAAACTCTCCTTTTGTGATGAGATAAAACCAGAAAGGCTGGCTGGAAACACAAGCTAGTCTTGCATTTATCTTGTTGTGTAATGAACTTGAAAAAGCTGACTGCAGCTATTTCCACTGACTGGCGTGGTCCCAAGAGCTTCAGCAGAGTCAGAGCCCCAACAGCACCTCTCCATGCTCATGAGGAAGGGCAGGCAGTGCTCCCCACGCCTCTGACAGTGCTCTCTGGCCCCACTCTCAGATGTGCGGCCTCCAGAACCGCATGATTCCAACCTCCCAAGTGTGCGGTTTTGATCCAGAAAGACAACCCCCCCATGAGAAATTTTACTCCTGAATTAAATGAAACTTGCAGAAAATGAGGGAATCCCCAATCTTCTATTGGCCACTACATTCTAACATGTGACTGTTTAGTAAAAGAATTTGAATCGTGCTACTAAATGAAAAGAATGATCGGGTGCGGTAACCACATGCTTTCCTGCAAGTAAAAATCACAGCATCTGAAACTGCAAAGTGATAAGCACGTACCCGTCTCTAGCTTTTCATTTGTTCTTCTGTAACACAGTCACATGGTATCAGGCCCTGCATGAACTTTAAAGCCCAAAGGACTAAACAAAGCCTGGACTCTGCTCCATCTGAAGTTGCGGGTTTGGTCTGAGCTTCTTTATAAAGGTGTTGTTACCTGGGAGTTGCTCCAATGAGCTCTTTCACTTTAAATGAACTGTACAGGAAAGCAATTCTCTGGGCCAATGTTGTGAAATTCCCTTCAAGCAAAAAAAGCAAAAAAAAAAATAAAAATAAAAATATAAGGCAGGGGGAGCTATTTTACTAAATAAAGGGTTTATGTTACTAAAATGACTTACTTCACATCTGATGACAGAGAAACTGATTTTTTTTAAGTATTTTGAATATGCCACAAAAGAAAAGCCTATTTTAAACTAAAACCAATGTAAAGAGTCTGTTAAAAGCACAGGGAACTCTCTCACAGCTCAGCAGCCATCCTGGAGGAGCCCAGTGTGTGATGGGCTGGGGCAGCCACGGCCGGGTTCCTCAGCCAGGGAGGCTTAACCAGCAGAAACATTTCTCAGTTTTGGAGGCTGGACGACAGACCGAGGTGTGGGCAGAGCTGGTTTCAGCGGCGGCCTCGCTCCTTGGCTCGCAGATGGCCGCTTCCCCCTGCCTCCCAGTCTCCCCTTAGGGCTTGCTCATGCCTGCGCCCTAATCTCTTCTTAAGGACACAGGCCTACGGGATGGAGACCACCCTGGAGCCTCATTTTACCTTAAAGGCCTCTGCAAAGGTCCTGTCTCCAAATACAGTCACATTCTGAGATGCTGAGGATTAGGACCTCAAACCTGTGAATTTTGTGGGGGCACAGTTCTGCCCACACACCCACATTGTAGCAGAAAAGTTAGAGCAGAGACTTTCGACTCCAACCCATGGAGCGGCCAGCTGAAAATCGCAGACCCTGGGGCCCCAGAGTGACCTCTGGGTTACCTGGTTCAGTCCCTCCGTTTACAGACGAGGAAACCCACATCCAGAGGAGACGGAAATCCCTCAAGGCTAGCTTTTTCCGTTGAGGGTTAATTTACTTTTGAGTATCATCCAAATTAAGACTTTAAAATGATAATCTAGCCAAAGCCCAGCCGCTCACCTAGAATCCAGGGCAGAAGTGCTGAGGTATGCCCAGTCCCTCAGAGTCCACCTCCCTGAGCTAAGGAGTGTCCCACGGAGGCCTGGGAGGGGGGTAACGAGGCCTCTCCCATAGGATGCCCTATTAATTTTCAACCACTGAGGTCTTCAGACAGTCATCAAAATAAATGTGTCTAATTCTAGACTTTTCTCCCTACTCAAAGGACACAGAGAGGTTCTTATTTCAGGGGAAAGAGAGGTGGCCCCTCTCCCCATCTCAGATTATAGTTTTATTTTTCTCCAGGGCAAATGAAGATGCCTGCCCTTCCTGTGAGGAGTTTCAGATGGACCCACCTCACAAAATCAAGTCAAATGCAGCTCATAAAACTAGTTGGAGTCGAGTAGAGACATGCCCTGGAAAACCAGAATAGAGGATAACCAGGCCCAAGCTTGTGCAGACCGCCTCGCTCGAGACTGTTTCACTCACTTGAGAATTCCTTTCCGCCCGGGGAAGGCTTGGCTCCCAGCTCCCGGCACTGTTGATCCCCAAGGAACACCCAGCCCCACAGATGTTCATGGGTCACAGATTTGTGAACTGACCACTTATGCATTTTGGATTTCAACTTGTAAACATGGGAATTCCCTTAAAAAAAAAAAAAAAAGGAAGAAGAAAGGCTGGCAGGGGAGGGTGGAGGGGGAGAAAAATCACCATGCAGAGGAAAAATGTGAGCTAAGTTTTTCCTTTTGGAATCTTGGCGTGTGAGTTCAGCTATCTTCAATCTGGCTTTCACCAGACACTATATACTTTGAGCAGGCATGGAGCAATCTGCCTTCAGCGCATTGCCAGAACATTCAGACTTGACCTGTAACACCCCCTTTATTCCAGGCATGAGCTGAGACAGCCAGGACAGGCTGCGGCAGACACAGTGGGCTGACCGCATGGTGCAGCCAGAGCGGAGGCTCAGTCCAGGGAGCAGAGCAGTTGATTGATGAGGCGAAGAACTATGCCCCAGCTGAGTCCCTGAGTTCAAGTCCCTGCTCGTCTATTTCATAGGGCACTTGAGAAAACCACTTGCCCTCCCCAGGCCTGAAGTCAACCCAGCTGGAAAGCATGAGGAAGAAAATAGGATATCCAGTGAAAACCAAAAGCTGCTTCTTTCTGGCATGAACCTTGTCCCATTTTCCAGCTGCCCATGCTAAGAGACGAAGAGCCAAACACCCTGTGAGGCTGGTAACCACTGGTTTTCCCAAGAACATGCTGTGCCCTCAGCAAGAAAGAGCAGAGAATTGCCCATGATTCCTGCTCCATTGATGCCCCTGCCTCATGTCTGCAAGTGTGCTAGTGAGTCCACAGAAAGCAGCACTTCTAAAATGTGGAGTCAGCAGGGAGGACATGAGTCAGCATTTTCACCCACTGCTGTTATCCAAGACAACCATTCTGGATTTCCATTCTCCTCTAGCCCTGCCTAAGGGGGCAGGATTCACCTCTCACTCACCACTTCTACTAAAAACAGGCTTCCTCTAACTCCTTTAAAGCCCCCTGTGTGTCCATGATTCTGCTGATAACACGGGGCCTACAACAGCCATGTGAAAGAACACGCCTGCGCACAACTTTTCCCTCCAAGTTGAAACCCTGATAGGATGGGGTGCACATTTAGGGTCTTGTTTCTCATTCTCAGAGGTGGAATCCCTGCTATGATATGGCGAAAGAGACCTGATAATGATTTTGTGGGTTAGTGATGTTTCCAGCATGCTCTGTCCTGACTCCACTCTAGGGCTATCTGGGTTCAGATTTTAATATATTTTTTCGCTCATTTTGGGCATGCAAAAGAAAGGATACTGACAGCAAACTTCCTTATAGCTTGCTGCTTGCATCAAACATACTATCTTCTTTCCTCCTTTGGGCACATTTTCCTGTTGTTGTCCCCTTCGATTGACAATGAATGACATTCTAATCCTATGGATATCCCAAAGAAAATTCACAAGCCAGCTGTGATGGGCATGAAAAATTCATTGGGTTAAACAATTTGGGAAACAATGTAGTTCAAAGTCTGGTGTCCACAGTACAGTGGTATTTTAAGAAAATGCTGAGGGCTCATAAGTGTACTCAATTACAATAATCACATTTCCCGAA